TTTGATGTGCAATGTGAAATGTTTATATTGAACTAAGTAACACATCCATCACAATTATACTCATTTCTTAATAGTTTTGAAATGGACCATTGCATCATGCACATTAGGTGAGGTCCCCTCAAATACCCTCCCTCCTCCCATATCCCCCGCCCCCCTTTCTGCTCTTCCCTTCTACTTTCTGGACTATACCTATGTTTTGCCATTCATGTAAGTGTGTAGGTGGTTATATATTGATTTCATAGTAGTATGGAGTACATTGGATGCTTTTTTCCCCATTCTTGAGGTACTTTACTAAGCAGAATATGTTCCAGCTCCATCCAGGTAAACATAAAAGATGTGAAGTCTCCATCTTTTTATGGCTGCATAGTATTCCATGGTGTATATATACCACAATTTGTTAATCCATTCATGGGTCGATGGGCACTTGGGCTGTTTCCATGTCTTAGCTATTATGAATTGGGCTGCAGTAAACATTCTGGTACAAATGTCTTTGTTGTAAAATAATTTTTGATCATCTGAGTATAGACCTAGTAGAGGAATTACAGGATCGAATGGTAAGTCTACTTTTAATTCCTTGAGTATTCTCCAAACTTCTTTCCAAAAAAGGTTATATTAGCTTGCATTCCCACCAGCAGTGTAGAAGTGTTCTCTTCTCTCCGCATCCATGCCAAAATCTGTAGTTTTAGGATTCGTGGGCTAATGTTACTTGAGTTAGATGATATCTCAAAGTGGTTTTGATTTGCATTTCTCTGATGATTAAGGATGATGAGCATTTTTTCATGTGTTTGTAGGCCATGCACTTGCTTTCTTTTTTTTTTTTCTTTTGAGACAGTCTTATTTGTCACCCCCAGTAGAGTGCAACAGAGTCTTACTTTGTCGCCCATGGTGTCATAGTTCCCAGCAACCTCAAACTCTTGAGCTGAAGTGATTCTCTTGCCTCAGCCTCTGAATAGCTGGGACTGTAGGCACCCACCATAATGCCTGGCTATTTTTTCCTTTCCTTTTTTTTTAAGAGATGAGATCTTGGCACCTGTAGCTCAAGTGGCTAAGGCACCAGCCACATATACCACAGCTGGCAGGTTCAAACCCAACCTGGGCCTGCCTAACGACAACTACAACCAAAAAATAGCCAGGTGTTGCCCAGCTACTTGGGAGGCTGAGGCAAGAGAATCACTTAAGCCCAGGAGTTGGAGGTTGCTGTGAGCTGTGATGTCACGGCACTCTACTCAGAGTGACAGCTTGAGACTCTGTTTCAAAAAAAAAAAAAAAAATAAGGGACAAGGTCTTCCTCTGGCTCAGGCTGGTCTTAAACTCCTGAGCTTAGGCAGTCCGCCCTCCTCCACCTCCCAAGTGCTAGGATTATAAGCATGAACCACCACGCCAGGCCATGTATTATTTCTACTTTCTGTTTTCTCTGATACTTGGTTCTCCCTTATTGGTTTGGGGTTTTGGGGACTTATTTAATATTGGCCTAAGGACATTGACTGCCCTATAAATACCATAGAGCATACCCAAACTAGGCTATTTATAGGAGTTTTGTAAAATTTACTATCTCTGTTGTATTAAATAATATAGATTAAGGCATAGTCTTTAAAGAGACTATGAAGGCCTAAAATTTCATTCTGGACTCTATCTTTGGGAAAATTGAAATTAACAATGTTGGTGGGGTTTATATTATTTTAAGACATTTTCGTCCTCTGCTTATAGGGTGATGACTGTGTATCAAAATGTATTTTTGCTATGGACTTAATACTGCACCAAGTTCTTAAAATGCTTTTAAAAAATCTTGGTTGGATGTGATTTAATTCTGTATTAATAATGTATTCAGCAGTTAATATCTTAATGTTGCCTTAAAGCTTATAAACTTGCTATTAGGTCAGGTGTGGTGGCTCAATCCTAGCACTCTGGGAGGCTGAGGCCAGTGGATTGCTTGAGCTCAGAAGTTCGAGACCAGCCTGAGCAAGAGTGAGATCCCATCTCTATTAAAAATAGAAAAACTAGCCCGGCCTGTAGTCCCAGCTACTTGGGAGGCTGAGGCAAGAGGATCGCTAGAGCCCAGGAGTTTCAGATTGTTATGAACTGTGACACCATAGCACTCTACACAGGGTGACAGAGAGAGATTCTTTGTCTCAAAAATAAATAAATAAACTTGATATTAAACTAACAAAATCATACTTATTTATGTAACCTTTTCAACTAGTCCTATCAAAGCACAACACCTATTTTCCTTACCTCCTCACGGGAATATTGGGTATAAGTGTATGTATTGTGCTTTGCTTGTTTTACAGAAACTGGCACGGAAACCAGGAAGGGCTTTGGATTTGGGGTTATAGAGTGAATCATGGGTAGAGTTAGGATTACTTGCTCTTTCCTGGTAGTTACAAGCTCTTACCTGTATTCCTAAATAAAATAACTTGTTCAGTTTTCCTTGCTAATGAAGAGAGGCAAGATGCTTCTGTACCTCCATGTAATTTATGTCAGTATTCCCACATTGCCTGCCATTTTTGGATCAGTTTTAAAATGCTTTACAAGCATTTGAATCAACTTTAATAAATCATTTATATCCCGTAATAAGGAAATATTCAGAGAGAATGCTTGCTTTCAAGCATTCAGGCTATTTCAAGCTTTCACGTTGTCTATACTTTTTGTTGGTTTTTGACAAATTGGTGAAAAGAAGAAATTTGAGTAGTTGAGTCACATTTGTTGTGATTTTGTTATTTGTTGAATGCTGATATTTGGTACATACTTAGCAAATTCTCCTAGTTTCTTTTTGTCTCCCCAGCAAGATCACAGACTTCAGGAGGTTTAAGACCTTAGTAATAAATTCCTGGTAAAATGAGCCAAGAATATACACCAGCAGACTCCAAGGCTGCTTCCCACATGCTTTGTTGAATCTGTAGCTTTCAGATAACTACATCTACATTGATTTTGAAAATTATTTTTCATTATTTATTCATTTACTTGTTTAAGGGATAGGGTCTCTGTCATCCAAGCTGGAGTAAAGTGGTATGATCATAGCTGACTTTACAGTAAAATCTTTTTTTTTTTTTTTTTTTGAGACAGAGCCTCAGGCTGTCCCCCTGGGTAGAGTGCCGTGGCATCACAGCTCACAGCAACCTCCAGCTCCTGGGCTCAAGCGAGTTTCCTGCCTCAGCCTCCCAAGTAGCTGGGACTACAGGTGCCCGCCACAACGCCTGGCTATTTATTTTTGGTTGCAGCCGTTATTGTTATTTGGCGGGCCCAGGGTAGATTCGAACCGCCACCTTAGGTATATGTGGCTGGTGCCCTAGCCACTTGAGCCACAGGCGCCAAGCCAACTTTATAGTAAAATCTTGAGGCTCAAGTGATCCTCCTGCCTCAGCCTCCCAAGTAGCTAGTACTATAGGCATCCACCATCACACCTAGCTAATTTTTTTTTTTTTTGAGACAGAATCTTAACTATGTCACCCTCAGTAGAGTGCTATGGTGTCACAGCTCACAGCAACCTCAAATTCTTGGGCTTAAGTGATTCTCTTGCCTCAAGCCTCCCAAAGAGCTGGGACTATAGGCGCCCAACTATTTTTTTGTTATCGTCATTGTTTAGCAGGCCCTGGCCGGGTTCAAACCCACCAGCCCTGGTGCATGTGGCCAGCACCCTGACCACTGAGCTATAGGCACCAAGACTCATATACAGCTACTTAAAAAAAATTTTTTTGAGACAGAGTCTCACTGTGTCGCCCCAGGTAGAGTGCTGTGGTGTCACAGCTCACGGCAACCTCCAACTCTTGGGCTTGAGCGATTCTCTTGCCTCAGCCTCTCTGTTAGCTGGGACTACTGGCACTCACCACAATGCCTGACTGTTTGTTTAGTAGGCCTAGGCCGAGTTTGAACCCACCAGCCCTGGAGCATGTGGCCAGTGCCCTAACTACTGAGCTACGGGCACCCAACCATGTTGGCTTATATTTGACAACTTACCTGTCATGTGATGATGAATGCAGTTCCAAGGTCATTGTTCTTTCTACAAATTTAAGGAGTTTTGTTTTCTGTAAACTTGGTCGTTAATGAAACATTTCAGTATGGGAAGCTGAGAATATGTATTAAATAAGCCATTGAATTGCCACAGAAATTGTGTTATTTGTAAAGTATAGAAAAGCCAATCATCAAACAAGTGATTAGTGACCAAGTGATTAAGTATACAATCTATACCTTGTCAACACTGAAAGACTCTGATTAACTGTGGCCATAATGGAAGTTAGGACAACTAAATAAATTTGGCTCAGTCCATCATAGTAGTGCTGCTATAACAAAATACTTGAGACTGGGTAATAGAAATTCATTTCTCACAGTTCTGGGGAAGTTCTGGATGCTGGGAAATCCAAGATCAAGGTACTGGGAGGTTTAGCGTCTGGTGAGGCCCTGATTGCTGCTTCCAGGATGGTACCTGGACCTCTGTGTCCACATAGTGGAAGGGGAAAGGGCAAAAGGAACCATAATGCTAGTTCCTCCTAGCCCCTTTATAAGGGAGGTCACCACAATGCCTAGCTATTTTTTTTTAAGAGACGAGGTTTCACTCTTGCTCAGGCTGGTCTCAAACTCCTGAGCTCAGGCAGTCCACTCGCCTTGGCCTCTCAGAGTGCTAGGATTATAGGCATGAGCTGTCACACCAGGCCAAGACTACCACATTGCTGCATAAGTTTCAACCTACTATGAATTCTGAGGAACACATTTGGACCATAGCACCATTTAATGGTTTATTTAAACATAAATATTCCAATCCACCAATTCACAATATAGTAAAAGAGTGTAGCTTATATCAAATTAGGTGTGTATTTCTGGAACTTTTTGAAACTTCATATTTTGTGTAATTTAAAATATTAATCCTAGGCTTGGCGCCTGTAGTACAGTGGTTACGGCACCAGCCACATGCACCGAGGCTGGGGGGTTCGAACCCAGCCGGTCCTGCTAAACAATGGCAATAACAACAAAAAAAAGATAGCCAGGTGTTGTGGCAGACACCTGTAGCTACTTGGGAGACTGAGGCAAGAGGAAGTTGTCCTAAATCAGACTCAACTTTTTAGTTAGTCCTTCAAACCTATTTCTCTTCATGGTGGGTCACTTTCCAATGCTTAGCTCTCATTTATCTACTGTAGTCACTCAGTCTCCAAATCCTGTCACTTCCACCCTCTAAAATGCTTTCAGTCTATGCAGTTCTCTTGTTCTTTTGCTCAGTACTGTAATTCAAGTCACTATTCTCACATGAGTTACCCAGTTATCTCTACAACACAACTAGTCTTCCTGCTTATTTTCAGTCTATTCTATACTGTGCCACTTTTTTCTCCACACTGTCGCCAAGTTGAGTACTTGAAAATGCTGTGATAGGCTCGGCACCTGTGGCTCAAGTGGTTAAGGAGCCAGCCACATACACCTAAGGTGGCGGGTTTGAATCCCCAGCCCTGGCCGCCAAACAACAATGATGGCTGCAACCAAAAAATAGCCGGGCGTTGTGGCAGGCGCCTGTGGTCCCAGCTACTTGGGAGGCGGAGGCAGGAGACTCGCTTGAGCCCAGGTGTTGGAGGTTGCTGTGAGCTGTGATGCCATGGCACTCTACCCAGGGGGATAGCTTGAGCCTCCGTCTAAAAAAAAAAAATAAAAAAAATAAAGAAAATGCTGTGATAAAAATCTCAATTGCTTTTTAACAAGATTGACGAGTCCTCTGGATCTCCTGCTTTTTCTCCTGTCTTACCTCTTATCCCTTCCAATACTCTTCTTCATCACAGATTCTCCAGTCAAACTAAACTATTTCAGATTTCCAAATGTGTCATATAGTATCCTATCTAGGATTTCTACCATACTATTTCCTCTTATTTTCTTCATTGGTTTTCACTTTTGCTAACTTGTACTTTTCCTTAGGGGTGAGTTTATATACATCACCTCCTAGGCAAAGCTCACTTTTATTATGGAATATAGGAATTCAGTGATCACTTACACATTGTATTATGACTCCCAGCTAGATGTAAACAAACTTCTGTAGAGGCTGTCAATTAATTGTCATCGAATCCTTAGTAGTTGTCATGGCATGTTGTAGCTTAGTAGATACTTGTGAAATGAAGAAATGAATTTATAAATGAATGGTATTTTAATGTGATTATTCTTTTTTTTTTGAGACAGATTCTCACTTTATCACCCTTGGTAGAGTACTGTGGCATCACATGTGGTTCCTGGCAACCTCCAACTCCTGGGCTTAGGCGATTATCTTGCTTTAACCTCCCAAGTAGCTGGGACTACAGGTGCCACAACACCCACTATTTATTTTTGTTGTTGTTGCAGTTTGGCAGGGCTGGGCTCAAACCCACCACCCTCAGTATATGGGGCCAGCACCCCACCCACTGAGCTGTAGGCGCTGCCCAATGTGATTATTCTTGACTGATCATTCTGTCCAAAATTATCCAAAGCAAGGCTACAGATACTGAGTACATTTTTATTTTAGGCTTAAGTTTTAATATTGGCATCCATACTAACTTTAATATTTTCTGTTTCATTTACTATGTTAAGTCTATAGACATAAACATTTGTTTTTTTATAATTCTTTTTATAACTTTGAGATTTATCCCTATCTTAGGTGGAAGATGCGCTATCCTATCTTGACCAGGTGAAGCTGCAGTTTGGTAGTCAGCCTCAGGTCTACAACGATTTTCTTGACATCATGAAGGAATTTAAATCTCAGAGGTAAAAGACACATGTGGTTGTACTCAAGCTTTGGGCTTGGTGTATTGACTTTGAAAGTAGGAAGATACAGCTTATTCGTACCTGCTGAAAGATAAAGGATACTCCCTTTGGGGGGTTGAATTTTTAGTATCAAGCCTTTATTTTTGAATATTTGTATTGCTTTACTGATGGAAATTACAGCCACTAGACTTTAGTTTTTCTCTACATTGATAAATTTTTCTTACCTGTTTTGTTTTGTTTTGTTTAATTAGCATTGACACGCCAGGAGTGATTAGTCGAGTGTCTCAGCTATTCAAAGGCCACCCTGATTTGATAATGGGCTTCAATACCTTCTTACCCCCTGGCTACAAAATTGAGGTGCAAACCAATGATATGGTGAATGTGACAACTCCTGGCCAGGTTCATCAGATCCCCACCCATGGCATCCAGCCTCAGCCCCAACCACCACCCCAACATCCTTCCCAGCCTTCAGCCCAATCAGCCCCAGCTCCTGCCCAGCCAGCTCCTCAAGCCCCACCTACCAAAGTCAGCAAGGTAAGCACCTAGAAAATATTGCATTGTGTGAAATGCATCCCTACAAAGCACCCTCCTTTGACATTTCCCCTTTATGTAAGAGTTAAATAGAGGTATCTATTTAAATCAACACATCAGGAAACTCTTAAGGATTTTTATTCCCAGTGTTGTCTTATTGAACTCACGAACATCCTAACAGACTGACTTTTTATGTAGTAGTACTTTGTGCAAGCAGAAAAGGTTATTTTAGCATGGTCAAACTATGCTACTGCCCACTAGGTCATCTTTTATAAAAGTTATTTCGTTCAGTGAGTTAGGTCATATCAAGCTAAGCACAAGATCTTACTGATGATGACAATGACAATGGGGTGTTACACTAGAATGGCACCATCTGATATAGTAGCCACTAGTCATGTGTGACTAGTTAAAATAAATTTAGTTTTTCAGTTGCACTAGGTACATTTTAAGTGCTCAGTAGCCACATATGACTAATGGCTATTGTATATGAGGTCTGACAATTAAGTTCGAGCACTCCTCCTAGAAAAAGCGCTACATAACTCATTACTAAATATCACCGTGATCATAGTCACATTTGAAGTTCTCCCATTGGGAAGCTATGCACTGATACTAATGCCTAATCCACCTTTCAAGGCGGTTTTGGAACTCTTTTTCTGGAATGGCCGTCAGAGCTATTGTCATATTACCCTGGATGTCCTGAATGTCATCAAAATGTCTTCCTTTCAATATTGCCTTTATGTTTGGGAAAGAAAAAAGTCACTAGGGGCCAGATCAGGTGAGTAGGGAATGTGTTCCAATATGGTTATTTGTTTACTGGCTAAAAACTCCCACACAGACAGTGTTGTGTGAGCTGGTACATTATCATGATACAAAACCCATGAGTTCTCGGTCAAAATTTTCAGTTAAGGTTTTTCTATTTCTCTGTTGATATTTACTTGGTCTGCTACACTTCCTCTCACAGTTAGCTGATGATTTTGATGCACAATTCAACAACAAATTTTTGCAATGTTTTTGTCAGTTCTGCTGTTAACTGACTGCCTTGACCTCTCTTCGTCAGTGATGCTTTATCTCCCCTCAAAAAAACATTTAATTTGGGCAGCGCCCATAGCTCAGTGGGTAGGCCACTGGCCACATACATCCAGACTGGCAGGTTTAAACCCAGCCCAGGCTACTGGGAAGCTGAGACAAGAGAATCGCCCAAGAGTTTGAGGTTACTGTGAACTGTGACACCATGGCACCCTACCGAAGGTGACATAATGAGACTCTGTCACGAAAAAAAAAAAGCCATTTACTTGTACGTTTCTGTTTTCTTCATGGCGTTATCTCCATAAATTTGGACTAACATGTCTGTGATCTCACTTCCACTCTGGCCATGTTTGACAAGAAACTCCTGACCAGTGTCAATTACTTCTAGTCAGATGGCCATCCTTTTCTTTTCTTTTCTTTCTTTCTTTTTTTTTTTTTGAGACAGAGCCTTATTATGTCACCCTCAGTAGGGTGCTGTGGTGTCACAGCTCACAGCAACTTCTAACTCCTGGGCTTAAGCACTCTCCTGCCTCAGCCTCCTGAGCAGCTGGGCCTATAGGCGCATGCCACAACACCTGGCTATTTTTTGGTTCCAGTTATCATTGTTGTTTAGCAGGTCTGGGCCAGGTTCAAACCTGCCAGCTTGGTGTATGTGGCTGGCGCCCTCCTCACTGAGAGCTATGGGCACTGCTGGCCCTTGCTTTTCTTACCTGCTAGTCTCTGAACATTAGTAGGCCAAAGTACCTGGTCACAACCATCACTGTAGTCCAGTAAGATCTCTGCTGTATTTCCAGGAAAGATTTACAAATGTTCATTGTTCTAATTCAAACTCTGATAGTTTCACAGTGGCACACAAAAACACAACAATAATGAACACTACACAGCAGACAGCAAGATGCTGCCACATGTCACACAGACACGGCTGTGAGACATTGAATATGCCAAAGTTATGAAACCTTATCTAGTTGTTTATACAGTGCTGCCAATGTTAGTGCTTGGTGGCAAGTTCATGAACTTAATTGTCAGATACTGTAGGATGGTACAGATAAAGAGCATTCCCACCATCTTGGTTCTATTGTAGAGCTTGCCTCAAAGACTATTTTTTCTGGGGTTACTGTAATAATTGAGGTGTTGTCTTTTTTGACATTAAAGATCTATACCAGGTATCCTCAAACTACGGCCTGCGGGCCACATGCAGCCCACCGGGAACATTTATCCGGCCTGACAGGTGTTTTTGCCACCGCTGCCTGTCCTGCTTAGCAGCCAACTTGTCCCGGGGCCCACAGTCCGGCCCTCCAATGGTCTGAGGGACAGTGAACTGGCCCCCTGTTTAAAAAGTTTGAGGAACACTGATCTATACAGGAGGGTGATTTTTCCCCCCCTCCGTCTGTACCTGTTGAGCTAGTGCATTTAAAATTGTAAATGAAAAATTCTTCCCTGTAATTGGAGATGGCACCAGTTTTAAAGTTTTATTTAGAAAATCTGAGACAGAGATATTTGTATAAGAACGTGAACCATGCATAACTACTACCTGTGCTCAGTATTATTTGATATGGACTAAAATGGCCTGGTCTGAATGAACAACTAAAGGAGATAAGTCAATCAGGCATACCTTGTTTCTCTTTAGTTTGAACTTTCTTTCCCTATGTCAAGCCATCTGTGCTCTTGAGGAGAATAAAGACTTTTTCCTTTTTAGCCTTCCCAACTACAAGCACATACTCCAGCCAGTCAGCAGACTCCCCCACTTCCACCATATGCATCCCCGCGTTCTCCACCAGTCCAGCCTCATACACCAGTGACAATCTCATTGGGAACGGCCCCGTCCTTGCAGAACAATCAGCCTGTGGAGTTCAATCATGCCATCAACTATGTTAATAAGATCAAGAACAGATTCCAGGGCCAACCAGACATCTACAAAGCATTCCTGGAGATTTTGCACACATATCAGGTAAGCTGGTTGTCCCTTCAGTTTATCTTAACCAGTCTACCCTCTGAGGGCATCTGGTCCAAGAAGAACTTGGGTGACCATTACTGTGTCCATCCATTCTTATTGGGAATGAACCAGTTAGAAACTATGATTGTGTTTATTAAAGCCAGTTTTATTTGTTGTTGTTCTTTTGCAGTTTTTGGCCAGGGCTGGGTTTGAACCTGCCACCTTTGGGGCATATGGGGCCAGTGCCCTACTCCCTTGAGCCACAGGCACTGCCCAAGTTAAAGCCAGTTTTATTTGCTAAACTTGATTGCTCTGTAGTATCCAAAACACAACTCAGGATTTTTTTTTAGACAGTCTAGCTCTGTTGCCCATGCTAGGGTACCATGGTTTCACTCTAGCTTATAGCAGCCTCAAACTCTTGGGCTCAAGTGATCCTCCCCCCTGTAACTGGGACTACAGGCCTGCACCACCATGCTCTTCTAATTTTTCTATTATTTTATAAAGACAGGGATCTCCCTCTTGCTTGCCCTGGCCTTGAACTCTTGGCCTCAAGCAATCCCCCCACCTTGGCCTCCAAAAGTGATAGGATTACAAGTGTGAGCTACCATACCTGATCTTAGTCAGGATTTTTAACGTCATTGTCCTGTGACATGAATATCTGTTTTATCTGGGAAGTTTAGATGATTTGTATAATCTAGTTAATCTACAATAGAAGAAGAAATTTCTCCAGTGTTTATTGGTAACTGGGTGCTGATAGCATAGGCTTTATTTTTAAGTGCAGTCTAAGTAGATAACAGTGATACAGACATTCCGGAAAATGTGCTAAAGTGAGTGATTTAAAAGAATGACCCTCGAATATGATCTCTTCCCCTTTGCAATTCTTCAGAAAGAACAGAGAAATGCCAAGGAAGCTGGAGGAAACTATACGCCAGCATTGACTGAGCAGGAGGTATATGCCCAGGTAGCTCGTCTCTTTAAAAACCAGGAGGATCTATTGTCAGAGTTCGGACAGTTCCTACCGGATGCCAATAGCTCTGTGGTAAGTTTTATTTTGAGGGAGATTTATACTATTTAGGATTATTGTCTTAGATAAATTGGAAAGTTAACAATCAGAAGAGAGCTTAGGCTCAGCGCCTATAGCTCAACCGGCTAAGGCGCCAGCCACGTACACCTAAGGTGGCGGGTTCGAATCCCCAGCCCGGACCGCCAAATAACAATGA